GCTGTAGTTTCTAGGAAATGGACTAGCGTAGGGTGCAGTTTATAGACCCTGCCCAAGGGACTGAAAGCACGTAGTCGCAGCTGCGGGCGCAGTGCACTACAGAGGAGGTGTGCACTGGTGCCGGCGCTATCGCCAGCCCAGTCTCCAAGCATTTTCCACACATTTCACGTATGCATATTAACTCATAGGCAATTTTCCTTATTTTTATCTTAGTAGGAGGGTCCTGTCCTCCTCCAGTGTTGCGGCCCCTTGTAGGTCGCTAGCTAGCTAGCGTCTCTAGGTCACTAGCAAGCCCCATTGTAGTGCCTGTGCACTACAAGACGTCTTCAGGCTCGAAACAATCATTCTCCTTCCGAGGCGTAGCGGTTTGGGTCCGTCAACGTTCGCTACATGACAGTGTTCAATGACGAGCTGGGGAGGAAGCGCTGCGCACAGAAGCTAGTGCCGTGAGCGCCGTGCACAGCACGGCGCTCACGGCACTAGCTTCAGAAGGGAATAGAGACTGAAAAGGCAGAAATAATGTGTTTTGGGTAGGCCGATTCAGTTCGACAAGGGGGGAAGCTGTAGTGCGCAGTCACTACAACAGGGTTTGCTGTAGTGCACAGCGCCTAGAGCTGCGACTATGCTGCATCCTGCCGCTCGAGCAGGGCCTATGATCGGCACCTAATGTTGGCCCATTTCCTTGAAACAGTAGCTTATATATATCGAAATACAGTTATCCTCAAGTTTCCAAAATCTGTTGTGTTTCGATTCGCACCACTCGGGGTGCTCGCCTCGTAGGCCCTGTGGGGAGGAGGCCTGCACTGGTGCCGGCGCTATCGCCAGCCCCAGTCTCCACGCATTTTCAGGCACCTCTAGCGTATGCATAGTAAGTCGCAGACAAATTGCCTTACTTTGATTCTAGTAGGAGGGTCCTGTCCTCCTCCAGTGTTGCGACCCCTTGTAGGTCGCTAGCTAGCTATCGTCTGTAGGTCACCAGCAAGCCCTATTGTAGTGCCTGTGCACTACACTTGCTGGTGACCTATAGAGGATAGCTAACTGACGACCTATGAGCGGTTAAGAGCTTGAGGGGCGGATTGAGCAATGTAACGTCTTACTATTAAAATAGAAAAGCAATTTATTACCAAATTAGCATGTATAAACTACAAATGTCTACGAATGGCCTCAGATTGGGGCTGCTGACAACGCCGGCACCGGTACGCGTCACATCCTCGCCGGACCAGCAAAGCAAGAACCATGAGGAGTGAATTCTAGGAAATATGGTTTCGATAACTTGAAACAAAACGGTCTTTTTAATAAATTGGTAGACGTTACGCGACCGATGCGTCGGTAGTAGAGAAAATTTCATAGAATGCCCGAGTTGTGGGCCGTGCAGCATTGTAGACGCTGTAGCGAACGCAGTGTACTACACCTTACCTGGGAAATTTATTCCAAGTTTATAGCGCAGAAAAGGGCAAAAAGACGTTTCACCCTGTCGGCCGACAAGAACTCCTACTCTGCGCTACAAAGCGTTGGGTTACCTTGATGCCCAGCTGTCTTAACAAATTACAGAACGCATTCTGCACAAGACTATAGAGAACCTTTTAGACACATAGCTTCGAGAAAAGGCTCATAAGTACCAAGATTTATTGCGTCGGTGCGACGAAGCACTGCAGAGCACTTTGCCAGCTCTCGTAAATGATCGCCATGGCTCAAGAACTTCGCCAACCCATGAATGCTGATGCCAAAGAGATTTCTCCTTAGTTAAGCCAAAATGGCTGACACAGCAGCTCGCGTTTAGTGCAATGAGTCCATTTTCAGAGACAACTGTAACAGCTCCCAATTTGGTTACTGGAAGAAACTGGATTGAAGCCAAGCCCAAATAGAGTGATCTGTGTAGTGCACAGGCATTACAATAGGGCGTGCTGGTGACCGTAAGAAGATAGCTAGCTGGCGACCTACAAGTGGCCAACTCGCTGAATGAGCACAGGAACTTCTCACTAGTATCGAAGTAAGGCAGTTTTTCAGCAAATTAGCATGTATAGACTAGATGCGTCTGTGAATATCTGGATATTTGGGCTGGCGATAGCGCTGGCACCGGTGCAGGAATCCTCTCCACAGGGCCAAGGAGGCAAGAACCCCGAGTGGGGGATTTTCAAGAATAATGAATTTGAAAACTGGAGAAATAACTACATTTTTAATGTCATTTAGACACTTACTTCAAAGAGTTGCACCGAAGGTAGAATGTTTTTATAGGCCTCTACTCATGAGGCAGGTAGCAGCGTAGTCGGAGCTGTAGTCGCTGTGCACTACACCCTTCTCCAAAATAGCGTGGCTTCATTCGCTGCAATGAACGGCATGATCTTACATGAGCAGATAAAGCTGCCCGAAATTTTTTTTCCAAACAGCATGATTTTTGAAGAAAATACTTCTTCTTCCCAGCTTTCAGACTCTCACAATTCCACACGAGAAACACGCGTGCACAAATATCTTTGTTACACGGAGGTTTGCTATGAATTTGAGGAGCAAAACACTACATGGAACTAAGCAAAAAGCGCCAGTTGTATGTGTGCTGCGTCGGTTGTCATCTGGCTGATAGATACGAGGAATTAGACGTTGTCCCCCTCCAAGTAAATATTGTTTGCCCTACTGGAGCACAGAATGATGATGGAAGTGCTGGCCGGTGATTCCATGGGTGTTCGATGGACTGTGGGTACGATGGCCAGCATTAAGTTTGACGTTGCTGGGCACGCCTGTCAAATTATCTTGGACACTGCTGCGCCGTCCAGCGCTTTCAACCCACTAACTATAGAGCGCCTACAGTATGTGTGAGACAACCTTCTAAGGAGCTTGGTTCCTGCGTTACTAGCGGCAACTACTTGCGTGCTGGCCGTGTAGGGACTGGAGAAGCAACGCAATGAGGCCATGGCTATAGTACACCGCATTCTCTGCAGTGACTACGATGCTACCTGGCCCACAACTTCGGAACTCTATGAAATTCTCTCTACTATCGATGCATCTGTCGTGGCAAAGCCTGAGATCCTGCTAGGTGGTGAGCGGGCTCCCATGTGGCTTGATCTTCGGGGTTGCCTCTCCACTTGATGAGGTACTGGGCGTTGGCGCCTGAGCCGCGTTGGCCCAGAATATAATCAGCTTCATACTCCTAAATCGGACTGCCTGCTGCATAGCGGATAGGGGGGCAGTCTGTATCGGCTTCCTGGGGAACCAAGTCTAGAGGCCGGGGGCGGTGGGGAACTAACTGCGAAACATGAAAAACATTGTGGCATTCATAAGTGGGAGGCAAAGCAAGACGGAAAGCGACAGTTCCTATGCGTCCAATGGCTTCAAAGGGACCGTGGTAACGGGGCTCAAACTTAGGGCAGCTGTTGAAGGACGGTAAATGCTTGCTACTGAGCCAGACCTTGTCTCCCACCCCATACTCCACAGCTCGGCGCTTTGTGTCTGCGTAGTACTTCTGCTAGCATTTTGCCTTCAGAATGTGGCTCTGCGCTCTGTTGCAGAGCTGCCGGAATAGCTTAGTCATCGGAGGAGTGAGTGTAGGGGCTTATGCACCTAGGATATCAAGATTCGCAGCAGTCAGCGGATTCTCGCCAATCAAGACCTCGAAAGGAGAGAGCTCAGTGGATGAATGACTTGTTGTGTTGTAGGCAAGTTCCAAGGCCGGAAGCAAACGCTCTCACTCGCGTTCGTCAGATTTGATATAGGTACGAAGCATCTGCTCCGGTGTGCGGTTAACCCTTTCAGTTTGGGGGTCGCTTTGGAGATGGTAGGACGAGGACATGCACCGTTTGATGTTAAAGCGGCTACAGAGTTGTTGCCAAAGATCCGACTGGAAACGGGGGTCGCGTTCCGATATGAGCACCTCTGGAAAACCGTGATACAAGACGGTCTGCGAGAATCTCCACGGTGTCTGCTGCTGTGAATGGCTTCTTTGCGGGAACGAAATGCGCCATCTTGCTAAGGGAGTCGACCATGGCAAGGATCGAGTCGTGCCCTGTCGTTGTAAGGGGAAGATCTGTGACGAAATCGAGGCTCACGTGTGCCCACCGACGAGAAGGGATAAGCAGCTGTTGGAGAAGACGTGCAGGTTTCTGGCTCAGAGACTTAGACGCACGACAGTGAGTACCGGATTCAACATACGCAGTAGTGTAAGGACGCATTCCTGGCCAGTAGTACTGCTTGCTCAGATCCGTGAATGCCTTCTTTTGGCGTCTTTTGGCCGGCTGACACATGGTCATGATGTGAATGCAAGGCATGCGTAAGGAACTCAGGGAATTGTGGAACACAGATTCGCCATAGTCCGTGAATACAAATGTGCAAAGAAGGCGGCACATAGCGAAAGGTGACGTGACGATTGCGGGCTCTACCTGTATAGCGTCTCCCGGTTGTTTTGCAGCGAATTTGTAGGGAGCGGGGAAAACAGGACGCTTCGAGTAGGCTTGCGGCCATTCAGGCGCCTCAGGAGGGTCAGCTCGTGTCTTCGTTGCAGGTGTAGGATGTTCCGCCTCTGGATTGGACTCAGGCGGCGGAGTTGTAGGTGGTGATGGCAAGGTGCGTTGTCTGGATCGTCGCGAACGAATGCCGGCGAGCTCCTTGTAGTTATCAGGCTGACCACGAGAGCGAGGAGCCGCGCGCGTTTGTTCTACTGCAAGCACCAATGGTGTTGTTAGTGTGTCGTGTGATCAGGTGTTAGAGAGACGGGGACGGCGAGACAAGGCATCAGCCGCCTGATTGCGCGCTCCTTGAACATAAGCGATGTGCAAATCCGGGGACTCGACCAGCAAATCTAACCGCCGAGCAGTGCGTCCGCGCAGAGGCTTCGATGCTTGGAGTCGTTGGAGATGCGTAAGAGCTTGGTGATCTGTATGAGCTGTAACTTTGGAGACACGCAGCAAATGAGACCACTTGTCCAGGGCCGTAACCAACGCCAAGAGTTCTTGATCGTAGATCGAGTATTTCTGTTGTGTGGGGTCCATAACTTGGCTGAGGAAACCGATGGGCTTGCCTTCTTGTTCTAGCACCGCTCCGATCGCATAACCAGAAACATCCGTGTATAACTCGAAGGGCTTCGTGGTGTCGGGAACTTGTAATGTAGTGAAATCCATTAAGCGTTGTTTGAGCTGCTGCACCGCCCTTGTGTGAAGTTCTGTCCATTTGAAACTAATGTCTTTAACGTGTATGGCAAAGGAAGATCGCTGGAAGACGGCTTTCCGTTTCGTTCTAGGGCTATTTGAGTATCGCGTTATGCCCTTTGGCCTTTAGGGTGCTCCAGCTACGTTCCACGCCAACATTAATGCCTATTTACAGCCTTTATTAGGACCTTTATAGTTCCGAGCTCTCTGGACACGTTCCCCTCCTGCGACACGTTTAGAGGCCGCTCAACGTTGGCATAATCCGGTCCCATGAACATGCGACAGTAATTTATGGTGCCGAGACACGGCTGCACTTGCGTTTTATTTTCCAGCACCTCTGGCCAGTGCCGGATAGATTGGATTTTATCTTCTGCAGGTTTGATGCCTTCGGCAGTGATGGTATAACCCAAATATGTGATTGCTTGCCTACCGAACTTGCATTTGCGGAATTTTGGGTAGAATTGGTTTTGCACAAAAGTACTGAGAACGTGTCGCAGGAGGGGAACGTGTCCGGAGAGGTCGGAACTATAAAGGTCCTAATAAAGGCTGTAAATAGGCATTAATTGGCGTGGAACGTAGCTGGAGCACCCTAAAGGCCAAAGGGCATAACGCGATATTCAAATAGCCCTAGAACGAAACGGAAAGCCGTCTTCCAGCGATCTTCCTTTGCCATACTTATTTGATGGAGTTCTGCTTCAAGGTCCAAAAAAAAAATACTTGGCGCCTTCCAGCATCTGCAGAATTGTTTGAATGGGAGGTAATGGAATATCAGGAGCGACTGTAAGGGCATTCATAGCCTGGTAAGTAACTACCACACACATCTTCCTCTCCCCGGAGCCATCATCACGCTTGTCGGCCGTTATCGTAGGAGAGCAGATAGGAAGTTTTCCAGGTACAAGTGGGATATAGTGATCACGAGGGCGCTTCGGCGGTAATCCTTTAGGTAAGTTATCGGGGAAGACCTCCCGATACTCTTTCAACACCTTGGTAATCTCGAGTGGAATAGCTTGCGCCTGTGTCGAGTTTATCCACTCATCGTGTTCGAGTTTTGCCGTAGGCCATGGAGACTCTTCTTCATCTTCTGCTGTTGTCAAGGCAGTAGAAGTCAAAGGACGGCTAGAACCGGAGGCTTTGGGTCGATTCCCGATCAACGCGCAGCAAAGGTCGCCTTGCCACTTTTCCGTGAACCTCAGAGCCACTGACAAGCCAGCGTCGCGCAAAGCCAGGATGTAATGCAAACCGTGCAATGGTGCCCTGAGATTCTTTGCGTCGGCCGCCGCTTGGCGAACAAGCGCCGTTATCCGTGCCTTCGCCTTAGTCTTCGCATGGGATTTATACCTTTTAGGTGGCGGCCGTAGCAATATGGCAGCCCCCTCCGCTGACATACCCTCCACTTGCTTAGTCAAAATGTTATATGCTTGCTCTGCAGGAGTTCTTGGAGGTGCTACTATGTGACTGTTACACTGCAATCTCTCTTCACCCGTCCTAACGGCCGGTAACTCGCACCACTGGCCATTCACAGAGGTTCGGAGCTCGTCGGACTAAAAATACCAAGCCACCTTATGTTCACTCAGCCAATCCAAACCCAACACTAAATCATAGGGAACGGTTCCCACTAAAAAGTTCCCGGAAAAGCGTGCGTCTCCACACGTCAGCCCAGTCACAACTCGATCAATGCGTAATTCTTCACCTGTAGCAACAGTGAGCCTATGCTCTCCTGGAGGTATCCGCACCCTCAGTTACAATCGTTCGACTGTTTTAGGGTTAATGAAACTCCTCGAAGCGCCTGTGTCTAAAAGCGCCTCGCATGAACTTCCTGCAAGCTCAACGCGAAGTACCGCTGTTGCACCCATGTAACACAAGGCTCCTCCTTGGTTGCAACATTCCTTCGCACTAGTTTCCCGCCACCAGTGCGGCATAGTCTCTATCCCTTCTGGCCTGCAGTCTTCTTCTTTCGCTTCTGCAAATTTCCCGCTGCTATCCGTCTTCTCGCACGGAGCCTCCTCACTCCGCATCGGCACCGGCCCAGACTCCAACCGCGTTTCCGAAGGCGGCTGAGTCCTCTGCACGACCTCGTCGCTCGTTTTATTTTCCTCTACCGTGTTGAGGAGGTGGTTTCCCCGTTCTAGGGAGACTGGAATGGCATTAGGGCCTGTCGCTATGGCACAAATCATCCCTTCACCATGGCTACGCGGCCTAGAACGCTCGTCTCCAACAACGCCTAGGCCTCGCGGTTTAACCGTTTGGTCTTCACAGTGCTAGGACGGATAGGCTGCCTGCTACTCTTGTTTTCCGGCTCGGCATGGCCTCGGTCGTGTGTAGGACAGTCACGAGCATAGTGTCCCACGCCTCCACACTTCTTGCAGGTCTCGCCCGGGCGCTTGGTTCGTTCCCCTTTGCTGAGACAAACGTGCCGGGTGTCCACGCCCCTGACACTCGTAGCAGTTCCCGGAGTTTCTTCCAGGCCTAGTTTCATTTCCCTGCTTCCGATAGGTTGCATTTGCCTCAGCAGCAGCTCTTATCGCTCGACTAGCTCTTTCTCGTAGCTCTAGCACGGTCTGCTTAGGTTCATAGAGTCGTGCTGCTGCTGTCGCCGCTTGTTCCCAGGAGGAATAGTTCACCAGCCCATTATTTGTAATGAGAAGGTGGAGGTCAGTTGGTAGCCCAGCGCAGTACAAGTCAGCGAGTTCGTCGGGGGCGATCCCCACTCCACGCGTGGGTTTCGGAGTAGCATGGCATGACGAGGTTGGGCTGGTGTTCCACTGGGCAATTTGTTTACTGACATTGTAGAAGTCTTCTGTTGCATAGGTCCGACTACGCGTCCATTGCGTAAATGCATCCCCTACTCAGCTAAGATATCTAGGTGCGAATTATTAAAGCAAAGTGTTTCTACCCTCAGGTCCGGAAAAAAATAGATTTTTATCCCGGAACGGCCCCCAACTGTAATACACTGCGTTCTCTGCAGCGTCTACGATGCTGCACTGCCCACAACTCGACCGTTCTATGAAATATTCTCTACTGCCGACGCATCGGTCGAGTAACGTCTACAAATGTATTAAAAAGACCATTTTGTTTCGAGTTCTCAAAAACGATACTTTCATGAAAGTCATTTCTTCTTGCTCTTGCTGTGCTGGTCCGGGGAGGATGTGATGTAGTGCGCGGCGCCTACTGCTGCGACTACGCTGTTTCCTGCCCCTCTACAGGTCTACATGCTACACCTAGAATAGCCTCATTTCTCGGTCTCTATAGCTTTATTCCGTCGAAATACGACAATTCAAAAAGTGTCTCGAATCTCTCTCGTCGATTCGCTCCCTTCTCGGAGCTTACCTCCTAGACCCTAGGGGGGGGAGTCCCGCATTGGTGCCGGCGCTATCGCCAGCCCCAGTCTCCACACGATTTCCGCACATTTCACGTTTTCACTAGAACTGACTAACGGTTTTTCTTATTTTTGCATGTATTGGGAGGGTCCTGTCCCCCTCCAGTGCCGCGGCCCCTTGCAGGTCGCTAGCTAGCTATCATCTCTAGGACTCTAGCCAGCCCCATTGTAGTGCCTCAGCACTACATGTGACGCGCACCTGTGCTGGCGTTGTCGGCCGCCCCAGTCTTAGAACATTCGCAGGCATTTCTAGTCTATACATGTTTATTTGTTAATAAATTGCATTTGTATTTCACTGGTAAGAGGTTACAGCGCTCAATCCGCGTCTCAACCTCTTAACCGTCTCTATAGGTCACCAGCAAGCCCCATTGTAGTGCCTGCGCACTACAATAGCTGAGTATGTTGTGCAACTTTGGGTAGAGAGAATCCGAGTGCGGAGCTTGGATCCTTGTGTGGATCTTGGGAGACAACGTTTGAATGTCAGCAAATGCATGAATAAGGGCGCAATGATATAAATCCCCTAATAAGTTGAAATGGCCTATGCAAGCCATACTAGACGCTCCTCGACGTCCTTTCATATTTACTCATCTTAAATTTGAAAATTTGAAACCAACCGTTAAGCCGAACTAGCACTGTCTTGAGAGCAAATGCCCATATGTTATGTGGGAAGTCATAGACAGCTACTAGTGAAACTGACAATGAGGATCACTGGCCCCTTAGAAATTTGGAAATTCTTAAGGTGTTGAAAAACGCCACATGCTTTCTGTCTATTCTTGATTTCGCGAAGCGCTGCCACTGGAGGACATAGGAGGTTACCAGTCTTGGGCTATAGAAGCTTTTCCGAACTTCCCCGATTCTCGTATGTCCGAAGTCTTTATGTAGAGAACACCTCCGTCGTAGCCCCTCAGTACTTTGCCCAGAGCGGCCAAATCAAGTCACAAAATAATGCTAAGGGCGTCTTGCCGCGGTGACTTAGGTTTAGCCTAGGTCAGGTGTTCTGAAGCATGTTGTGTCACGAAGAGTCATGTGGGTGCAGCCCATGACAGACAATGCCACCATCGACAACGTTGCAGTACTCATTATGTCAGAGACCTTCCAAGCCTGCTGCGCATGCGAAATGGGGTGATACCCCAGCGACGCTTCGCGTGTGTGCTATAGGAGCCAAAATAACGAAGTCTGTTGGCCGAAACGAAGTACAGTTGAAGTTTTGCTTCCTTTATATTGTAGGCTAGATGGGAACAAAAAGAGCCCAACTTTGTAACATAAGAATGCAGCCTAGGAGGAATGCAGAGTGTCACATTCGCGAGTCATGGGTGGTCAGTCTAGAAGAATAAGTGTATGAAGTAGTGCACCATGCAACTGATATGCGCCTGGGGAGGGGCACAGAAGACCTGCACCGACAGCCAAGCTGCGCACGCTGAGTCATCTTTGCTGAATGCTTTTTGTTTGATTTTGATTTGTGAGTAAGAAATACAGAAAAACGACCTGCGGTGTTGCTCAGGGATGCTTGGTTGAGTTTGGTGTTTAGTGGCGAGGCAGAGGCGAGGCAAAGGTTCCAAAGCCCCTGGACACATTACCACGCAAGCCTCACCCACTTCCCCCGTACCTTGTCTTTGGTAGGACAGCCCTGCTGCTGGCTTGGGCTGCCGAGTTTTGAACTCTTTGAAATTTCGCGAAGTCGGAAGAATGCAGCAACTAGTGGCCTGCGGAGGCCCTTAGGCCCTTTTTTGTGAAGCTTAGAGCAACCCCAGGATGCCCTGACCTACGTTTTAGTTCTGAGACGTGGATTTGGTCCTAATAATGGCAGAAGCCTTTAGCGAGGCGGCTGCAGACTGGAGGCTTTGCTGCTCTTTGAGTTATAAAGCCTGTCTTTGCTGGCTGCAGTGGGACTCTGGCCTAATATCTTTTAAGCTTTGAATCTGGCGGAGTCAGACCCAGCAGTGGCTGTCCAGCGCGGCGTGGCTTCAACTCTGGGGCCCGCCAAGTTGAGTCTTTCGGACTTTTCGGGTGTCCAGGCGAGGCCGCAGCCGCCTAGAGGCGACTCAAATGCACTTCTTTAGACTAAATTAAAACAAGTTTGGTGAAAGAAACATTAAGTCCTTTCAGGATCTTCCAATAGACCCTTGGCTGCCCAGCTGCAGCCGCTGGGCAGCCAGCCACCAGCCTGGGCTTGAACTGCTGCAGGCCAAGCAGGCCCTGTCTTAGAGCGCACGAAAGGGAAAAAAGTGAAATTAATCATCAAGATCTTGAATTGATGAGGCTAAAATGTATTTATGATGGTGTTACTGGCGAAAAATGAGCACGCTCGACGCAGGACCACCACCGCTGGGCTGTCTGTACACACCGTGGGCCCTGGAGCCTCCCGCTGACGCCGGTCGGCGGGTAGCTGTTGGTCTTCTTCTTTGTCTCACACTTCTTGAAATGTTTCTTCGATTTGTTTTAGCGAATAGTGCACAATATTGGCTTTGAAGTGTCTAAGTTGAACTCGAAACGCAGCGGCTGCAGCACCTAAGGGCAGATTCGCCGCGGGAATTTCGCGTGGAGGCACCGAGTGAGTCTGCAGCGCCCAGGTGTACGTACACCTCAACCCCTGGACCCGTTCTTGTTGGACTTCATTTCATTTTAAATCTTTTTTTGTGCCTGAGGCCGCTGATCTGCTGCGCAGCTGCTGCAGCCCTCCACCCGCTTGCTGCCACAGGTTATCGGGACTTCTTTTTAACTTTTTGCTGCTGCTCGCCTGCGGCCCCGCCATTCTTTTGAAGCCTTTTAGTCTTTTTTGGCTAAGTCCCTTCGCAGTGGACTCAAAGGGGCTTTAGAGAAGAACTCAGCCAGCGAAACAGCCAGCAGCTCGAGGACCTGCACATGCAGCAGCAGCAGCAGCAGCAGCAGCAGCAGCAGCAGAGGCAGCAGCAAACATAGCAATGCATCTTCCCCGTTGCTGCGAAAAGGCAGCAGCAGCTACAGGGTCCCGGCTACGTCTGCTGCGCTCACCTGGGGACAGCAGCAAAGACCCTCTTGACTCTTCTTTTGCTGCTGCTCAAATGCCAAGGGGGGCCCCGCCGGCTTCTCCGAGCCCAGGGGCCCCCAAAGTGGGCCTTAGCAAGATGGGTTCAGCAGCAGCAGCAGCAGCAGCTGACGAGCCCAGGCAGCAGCAGCAGCAGCAGCAGCAGCAGCAGCAAAGCAGCGTCAAGCCCGCTGCTGCTGACGTTCTGATCCGCCGGAGGTCTGGCGGCGCTGCGCTTATTCGGCAGCGCAGCAGCAGCAGCATGAACGCTGCTGCTGCTGCGGCGACGGAGGCAGCAGCAGCAGCCACTGCTGCTGCTGCTGCAGCAACAGCAGCAACGTCCCGCTGCGTCCGCCGCAGCGCCTCGAAGGAAGCAGCCAAGGCCCCAAAGGCACAGCCAGCAGCAGCAGCAGCAGCAGCAGCAGCTCCTGCTGCTGCTGCTGCTGGCATTCCTTTTCCAGATTCTTGTGATCCAGAAGAACATGTGGCTCTCACTTATCCGGGGGGCCCCTCAGCTTTTGCTGCAGACATGGAAGCAGCAAAGACAGCCTTTAAAAGGGGCCACTATGCCGTGCTGCTGCTGCTGCTCATCATGTTTGCTGCTGCAGCAACTGCTGCTGTCTTTATTCTGCAGGACCCCTCTTTCTTACGGCACCGCACGCAGCACCTCATGCGCCCGCAGCAGCAGCAGCAGCAGCAGCAGCAGCAGCAGGAGCAGCAGCAGCAGCAGCAGCAAGCAACATTTGAACGAGAAAGCGAAGACGCAGCTCTCAAGAGCGGGACTGAGGCCCCATCAGCAGCACCCACAGAAGCAGCAGCAGCAGCAGCAGCAGCAGCAGCAGCAGCAGCACGAAAGGGGCCCATCCCCGGCATGCCTCTCCAGAAGCAGCTGGGGCCTGGGGGCGAATGGCTGCCGCCTTCTGCTGCAGCACTTGAGGGTTTAGTGCTGCACGTGGTGCAGCAGCACGGGGCCCCGGGGGCCCCGGGGGCCCCGGGGGCCCCAGGGGCCCCGGGGGCCCCGGGGGCCTCGGGGGCCCCAGGGGCCCCCGGGGCCCCAGGGTCCCCAGGGGCCCCCGGGGCTTCAGGGGCCCCCGGGGCCCCAGGGGGGCCCCCCCCCAAAGACCCGCTGGAGCTGTGGCTGCAGCGGGGGCCCCGCTGCAGCAAAGAGACCCAAAGTGGGGCCCTTGTTGCTGAAGAAGTGCCCCGGGGGGCCCCCCTGCTGCAGCTGCCGCGGCTGCTGCTGCTGTCGACAGCAGACGCGCCGCAGGCCATACGCGAGAAGTGCGTGCTGCAGCGCCGCAGCAGCAGCAGCAGCAGCAGCAGGCAGCAGCTGCAGCAGGAGACCCCGTGCAAGCCGGAGGAGCTGCTGGCCGTGCTGCTGCTGAAGGAGCTGCTGCTGACTCGCCAGCTGCAGCAGCAAGACCCAGCAGCAGCAGCAGCAGTTGCTTCCAGCTGCTTGCTGCACACAAACAAGCGCAACGCGCCTTTCTATGGGCCTTACCTCTGGAAGGCCCTGTCGCTGGTGCTGCCGCAGCAGGGGGAGCAGCAGCTGCTGCTGCAGCAGCAGCTGCTGCAGCTCGCCAGGGGCCCCCTAGCAGCAGAACTCGCAGCAGCAAATCAAAGCGACATCAAAATGGCTGTCTCTTTAGTGCATGCGCGCAGCGTGTGGGATGGAGAGGGCCATGTTGCAGTGTCTGCGCTTGACGAGCTGCAGCAGTACCACTGGTCAGTTCCTGCTGCTGCTGCTGCTGCTGCTGCTGCTGCTGCTGCTGCTGTCGTTGACTTAGCAGCTTGTCGCGCTGCTGCTGCTGCGGCCGTTGGCGCTCTTGCTGCTGCTGCTGGTGCTGCGGACTTTCGCTGCACTGTTGCTGCCCCACGGCAGAAAGCAGCTCCCTGGTTGCTGACCCTGCACTTCTGCTGCTGCTGCTGCTGCTGCTGCTGCTGCTGTTGCTGCTGCAGGAGTGCGGACGTCGCCACGCAGCACGAGACGTCTCCAGAAGGCCTTGTCTGGAGGGCGCCTAGAGACACTCATCCCGGCGAAAAGGTGAGATAGTTACCTTCGAGTTCCCTGCTGCTGCTGCTGCTGCTGCTGCAGCTGCTGCTGCAGCTGCTGCTGCTGCTGCAGCTGCTTCTGCTGCTGCAGCTGGTGCGTTTCTCCTGCGCTGGGACTGTTTGCAGCGCCCGATCTGCTGCTTTTGCTGCTGCTGCTGCTGCTGCTGCGTTTCGCTGGGGCAGTTTGCTGCGGGTGGACTTTTGCTGCGCGTTGTGCTGCTGCTTCGCAGCTGTTTGTGAACTACGGACAGTACAATAATGCTTATCTTCTTTTTTATTTCGGAGTTGAAATAAATGACAATCCTTGGGGCCCCGCTTTTTTCTGGCGCACAGAAGCTGGAGATACACCCCACGCAGCGCTGCCAAACGGTGGGCCCCTGTCTCTGCAGCTGCCGGACTTTGCTGCACTTCCAGTCTCCTCTTCACTCCTCTGCTGCTGCTGCTGCTGCTGCTGCTGCTGCTGCTGCTGCTGCTGCTGCTGCTGCTGCTGCTGCTGCTGCTGCTGCTGGCATTGATTTTGTTTCTTTCAAAATTCCAATTTAAGCTTTCTTTTGTCTCTTTTGCTGCTTCTCAGGAGTTTCTTCTGTCTCCATTTTGCGCTCTTCTGTCTCCTCCTCAGCAGCACTTCCCGCCTGGCTGCAGCAAACCCAATGGGCCCCCAAGGGGGGCCCCTGCCACCCCCCCTTGGGGGGCCCCCCTTGCAGGGCCCCCGAGCTGGAGTTCCCCGAGCCCCAGGCGGACCGGGTCGTTGCTGCTGAGGTACTTGCTGCTGCTGCTCTTGCTGCTGCTGCTGCTCTTGCTGCTGCTGCTGCTTTTGCTGCTGCTGTTGCTGTTGCTGCTGCTGCTTGCTGGTTTGTGGGGCGTAGAGTGTGCGGAGCTGCAAGTCGCATTTAAAAGAAAAGAGTTTAGAGCAAACAAGTGGAAAGCAGCAGCAAAGAAGCAGCTGGAAACTCTTGTGCATGCGTTTGCTGCGCTGCTGTGCTGCTGCGCTGCTGCGCTGCTGCGCTGCTGCAGCTGCGGAGCAGCAGCGGGGAAGCAGGCATTGCATGCGACCTGCGGGTCTTCACCTCGAGGGCCTTCGGAAGAGGGGCTTTTGTGCTTTCCAAGTTCGGGGCTGTGGGGGGGGTGGACCCCACAGTCTTCAAGTGCGTGCGGGTGTTGCGTTTTGGGGGGCTGCGAGAACCAGTGGACCAGGAGGCCCTGACCATTGGTCTGTTTTTGGGGGCGTGTGGGGCGCACGACGGGGAGTTGGGGCGGGCGCAGCAGCAGCTGCGGGCGGCGCTGGCCGCCGTGCGCAGCCAGCTGCTGCTGCAGCAGCAGCAGCAGCAGCACGAAGCTGCGCAGGACTCCGCAGAAGAAGTCCACAGACTCCAAGCCATGCTCAGGGCGGTCAACAGCAACAAAGACTTCACGCAAAACTGCATGCAGTACTTCCAGCAGGCCCAGCAGGCCATCAGCAAGGAAAGGGCCAAACTCAAAAGCCGCAGCAAACGCTCCCGCAAGTAGCAAACACCCGCTGCTGCTGCTGCTGCTGCAGTTGCTGCAGCTGCTGCTGCTCCAGCAATGGCTCCTGCAGCTGCTGCAGCTGCTGCTGCAGCAGCTGCTGCAGCGGGCAGCCAGCGCGGGTGCTTGCTGCAAAGCCACTTCTGCGGCTGCGCGGGCTGTTTGTGCAGCAGCAGCAGCAGCAGCAGCAGCAGCAGCAGGAATACCCATATTTTACAAGCTGAAGCAGCAGCTTTTTAACTGCCCTTGCTGCTGCTTCTGCAGCAGCGACTTTTTGCCGAGGCTCAAATGAGCAAATTTTAGTTTAAAGGGCGATGACGTCTACGCCTGCAGTGCTGCCGCTAGCTAGCTACTTACCTTTATTTTCGTTCTGGCTAGTTGGCTAGCTAGCTGCCTAGCCACCCACCTAGCTAGCTAGCTAGCTACCCGCCCAGCTAGCTAGCTAGCTAGCTAGCTAGCTATCTGGTGGAAGGAGCTCGCCCTCGCGGATTTCACTATCGGAGGTACGGTGTCTGTACACCTGGAGCAGGGAAGCCGGTGGGCGCTGGCTGAGGTGTATGTACACTGGAGCGGTGGCGGGAATGCTCAAAGCAACAGAAAAAAAGAAAAAAAGATTTATTTGATTAAAGTACTTGAATGTTCTTCAACGAAAGACAAATAAATATCATTTAACGGATTAAATAAAAAATTAAAGATAAAAATAAAAGACGCTTTTATTCTTTGAAAGAGTAGCAATTAAAACAGAAAAGCCTCTCAATTTCCCTGGTATAGTACTAGTAGAATGCTTCATTTATATTCAGTTTATTAGATGCTTTTATATTCGATTAAAATACTTAAATGTTCTTCAACGAGAGACAAATAAATATTATTCTGTCTTTTCAAAAAAGCAAATGCAGATTTGCTGCAGGACCGCCAAAGGAAGCAGCAGCGAAAGCTGCAGCAAAAGCAGCAGCAAAATCAGCAGCAAAAGCAGCAGCAAAAGCAGCAGCAGCAGATTTTGCTGTTTGTGTCTTTTAAAGGCTTTTTAGGGTTTTTGCTTTTTAAATGCAAAGACTCCCGAGAGCCTAAGCCATATCACTATACTTCAGCAGCAGCAGCAGCAGCTCCCCGTGCTGCTGCTGCTAGTGTTGTTGCTGCTGCTGCTGCAAGTGATGCTACTGCTGCTGCTGCCGCTGCTTTCTATCACCTTTTTAGTGGTAAAGCCTAAACCCTAAACCCTAAACCCTAAACGCTGGCATGGACAAGCGAGCCGCAGCAGGGCCAGGACCGGTGAAGCTGCACGACAGCAGCAGCAGCAGCAGCAGCAGCAGCAGCAGCAGCAGCAGGCTACTAAAGCTGGCAATTAAGGGGCTGGACTTGGCACACATGAACATTCCTTAGACACGTTTTAATCGGGACACCCTAAACCCTAAACCCTAAACCCTAAACCCTGCACGAACAGCACTTGGGGCTACTAATTCAGGTGTCTGTACACCCCAGTGCTCTTTGCCACCCCGCGCTGCAGCACCGCAGGGGCCCTCATTAAATGTGAATTACTTTTATTTGGAAAAGTCGAATTTGCCATTTGTCTTCATTTGTTTCATTTTCGTTGAAGACAAGAAGTGGTAAAGATTGCTACAGTTCCGCTAAGAGGCAGAAGCCAGACTCCTGCAGCAAAAGCGAGCTAGCGATCTGGCTAGCTAGCTAGCTAGCTAGAGATCTAGCTAGCTAGCTAGCAATCTAGCTGGCTAGCAGTCTAGCTGGCCAGCAATCTAGCTAGCTAGCAAGCCAGCAATCTAGCTAGCTAGCGATCTAGCTGGCTAGCAATATAGCTGACGAGCAACCTAGCTAGCCATCAATTCAGCTAGCTAGCTAGCCAGCTAGCTAGCTGAATAGGATGCAGCAGCCTGGGCTTCTGCAGCGAGCTAGCCAGCGGAAACAAGACAACTCCTTGAAAGCTGCTCCCCCAGCTACTAGGCCTGAGGGGCCAGAGTTTAAATTTAATTAATTTATTCTTTTTAATTTGTGGCAGTTGAGTGGCAGCCAGCAGACTCCGGAGCGCGCACTGGGGTGTACAGACACCCGAGGGGAGCGGCGCCCCCGGCGTGAGTGAGTGCGGCATTTGGCGAGGTGTCCATACACCTCAAATGAAATCCTTTTCGGAAAGTGAAGTTTTATCTTTTTTATATTTCCTGGAATTAAAAGAACAGAAAAACGCGGCGCCGACAGTGGGTGCATGCGCCCCCCACTGGGGTGTCTGTACACCTGGGCGTTGCCTGCGGCATCGCCAGGCCGCGCGAAAAAAGGAGTTTTGCATAAATACAATTTTAAAAAAGAAATAAAAAAAGAAAAAGAATTAAATAATTAAAAAGAGGGCTGCAGGGGCTGGGGCTGGGCCCAGAGGCCGCACGTGGGGCGCAGGCTCTTTGGTGCGGCGTTGAGCCCACGGGGGTGGAGCAGCAATTAAAGCTAATAAACTAGGCAAAGCAAGGCCTTTTGCCCCCAGCAGCAGCAGCAGCAGCAGCAGCAGCAGCAGCAGCAGCGGCAGCAGCAGCAGCAGGGGTAAGTCGGTGTGTCCCAGCGGGGGCCCCCCATTCGTGTTGGGCATATTTAACTTCTTGGATTAGTTTGCTGCTCATTGCATGCATTTCTATTTGGCTTTGCTGCAGCCCGACCTGCGGGAGACAGCGGCGAGCCAAACCCTAAACCCTAAACCCTAAACCCTAAACCCTAGGCTGCGGGCCTGCAGCAGCCCGCGCCCAGCGGGCCGCCCCTGTGGTGTCTGCTGCGCTGCAGTTGCTGCTGTTCTTCTCGGGTGTACGTACACCTCAGCCCCCACCCCACACTCCTCCAAACCCTCAAAATGATTCGCCCAAGAGGCCCCGTGCTTGTCTTCAAGCAAAACACTAAAAGAGAGTCTGGGCGAAAGGCCCAGCTCGCCAACATCCAGGTAACCCTCCAAGCAGCAGCAGCAGCAGCAGCAGCAGCAGCAGCAGCAGCAGCAGCGGCAGCAGGGGCAGCAGCTGCAGCAGCGGGAGCGACCACCGGCGCGGCGCCAGCGGAGATCTTCTTGGCCTGCGGCCTGTGGCTAGGGTTTACTGCCTAGGGTCTAGGGTTTAGGGTTTAGGGTTTAGGGTTTAGGGTTTGCGGGCAGGCGAGCAAGGCCATAGCGGACATTGTGCGAACCACTTTGG